TGAGTTAATGTTGAATTTGAAGGCTAGAACAAACAATGCCTTCTTATATGACACTGAATTCATGTGAATTTGATGGCTAGAACCAACAACGTCTCCTTTGACTTTTACAAACTAACGATGGATATTTTTCGTTACCAAATGCAAATACAAACATTGTGAGACGACCGTTCCGTTTCACACTTGCAGTACCAAAGTCTCCATATTCTGAACGGTTCCACGGGGACACTAAATCCCCTTTTGGCAAAGTGCAACGTGGTTCGAACTCACTCCTCACGGTTTCCTAGCACTCTGCTGACAACACCTCTGCCCACTCAACCACTAGAGACCTGACATTATGTTCCAAGCACACACGGTCTTCCCACTGAGTGCATATATCACTCTCACCACAACCGTCAACAGGGACGGTGACATAATACATCGAGAAAACATCCATTTTTGCAGCTATAAAAACGCCCAGTAATTGTGACAGGTCAGTAATCCTGCAGCTGAGCCGTGGCTGTTGACATTCAAAACCTTTACGAATCCTGACTGCATGAATTTTTCTTCAATGGCTCTCCTCTTATTAAGTACTGGGAGCGACTCGACTCTTTACCACCTCGCTCCTATGGGGCGTTCCCAACACGCACCGTCAACTGGGGACGTCTTCAACACCCCTCCGTCTCCAGGCCGCGTCAGCCTGAGTGTATGCAACATCATGTCCCATAACAAAAACTAATTCCGACTGCTAAGGGAGGTATCCCCTTTTAATTATTAAGTTGCCCCTCGCGGCGTTCTCTACCCTGCCTTTGAACGCAGACCGGCGTTGATTAGGGTGATTATGAGATGAGAGGCTCTTCTCAATGCAAGCCACTGCATCAATGCTTGGTATATTGCATAATGACGTGACAGGCGCCTGGTAAGGCACTGGAGTATGCCAAGGCAAGTAATACGATAGTCGACTCTATCTCTTTGCCAAACCTTTGGCATTTTATTTGAAAGGTCAATTGCATTTTTATACGTAAAAATATTTCCAAGATTCGAGATTCTGATCACTACTGATGTTACGTTTAGCTCGTATGACAACAGTACACATCGATATGAATAAGTTTAGATATTTCATCGTTATTTAACATCGTTAAAAATACATACCAACAAACTTGAACTTTTAAATCATGGAAAATGCTTGATATATAATTTTTAATTTGACAGTAAAGATTTCCCTTTTTTTTAAACAGAAAATAAATGAAACGCGTTTCATGAAGATAACGATTCTTGAATAATGACGATTTTTTAGGACGCGTTTGACAATTTCAAAAGTTGTGGACTAAACTGATTTGTTTCTAGTAGAAAAAGATGCAAGCAGTTACACAAACAGGCATGGTATGATTTATATGAAGTCAGAAATTATAAGGTGAGTGTGAGTGAGTATGATTTTACGCCGCCTTTAGCAATATTCCAGCAATATCACGGCGGGGGACACCATAAATGGGCTTCACACATTGTACCCATGTCGGGAATCGAACCCGGGTCTTCGGCGTGACGAGCGAACGCTTTAAATTGTAAGGACAACCTTTGGTAGCATCAACAGTATTACATTAAATTATTCCGTCATCTAAGCTAGATAATGTCAGTGTAGAGAAACAACGACACGGTTTCACCGAAGTGTTTCTGAGTGAGAATCTTTTATATAGATACTATTAGCGTGTTAAATCCAATTCTATGTCTTTCGATCAGACCTCTATTCGCCTCAGGCGTATATATGATGAAGGCTTTTAGTTATTCGACTTTCAGACTGACGAACTTGAATGTCTGACGCGCGAATACACCGCCAAGTACTGTATGGAATACCCTTTCCACATGTCGCATCACTTTTGCAGGACGTTGCTGCTATCAAAGCTCCTCAGTAACATGTCATGTGTGTGACATTATTGTTAAGGTCTCTGTGTCAAATCATTTTTATGTTATCTTATTAGTTGGGTTCCTGTGGGAAATTGATTTCACCTGAAATCACAAATAAAGATATTAAGAAAAAATATCAAATCTCTACGCAATCACTATCAACGTTTCTTTATGAAATCAATAAAGATTCAATAATGAAATCAATAGCAGAGTTACTACAATTATGGAATAAATTCTGAATGATATCCAAAGTATACTACTCAACATTAGCAAAGGATCACACCTTTGACTAAAGACAACCTTTTGTCCTTAAAACATTAAACGGGGGCACGGGTGACCCAGTCGTCTAAGGCGCCGCGATTCGTTGTGCAGAGTTGCGTCCCTTGGGCACGCCAGAAACCTATGATTGTGGGTTCGAATCCCGGTTCGCCCAAATTATGTTTCTAGGTTTGTCAGCACCATACCCCTGCTCGTGGGTTTCACCGAAGTGGTAAACGTCTGAGACCTGCATCACTTGGGGCTTTCCTCCTACATTAAGCTGACACGCCGTGATATAACTGGAATACTGTTAAAAGCGGCGTTAAACCCAACTCACGCACTCACTAAAACATTAAACATCAACGTCAGAGAATAACCAGTCACGATTATCTGCCTGAACAGATTCCATTAGGCGCAAAAGGCAAATTAGCGGTGAAAATAATAGAAATGGATCACTGAAAATCAGTGATGACACCATGTGTTCCAGAGAAAAGGGTAAGCATGTCCTGCCCTACCGGTAGAACCTACACTCACACAATTTGCGTAGAGCTAAGCTAAGGACAACAAAGGACAATATCCAAGGAAGGAAGTCTTTTGTATTTGGAGCGGTATTCATTTCTGACAGATTGATGCACAGGCGAATTATTTCTTATGCATTGTAAACAGGCAACAAATCAAAGTTAAGTGTCATATATCGCCATTGCCACCTTTGAATTAAAACCGAAGCTACCTTTTTCCTCATGTCGAAAGATTGGTCTAATTTTAAGAGGTTGTTTATCGATGCATGTAATCATTTCTGAAGAATGCGTATGCGGCCAATCTTAAAAGAAAATAAAGAACATGATCTTCAACGTGAAGAAGTTGACCCCTATTAAAGTTATAGCAATGATGGCGACCCCCTCTGCCGGAACTACACATTGCGAGTCCAAGTCCTGGTATAGCCAATATAACGTGCCGAGGTCTTTATTAACGCCCTTCCCGCGGAAACAGTCACTACCGTGGGAGAAGAGAAAGAACGCAATATTGAACGACTATCAGGTCTGTAGAGGCGCGAGGAATATATATCATTGCAATCTAATTAGCCACTTTACAATCAGTCGGCCACAAGGCCAGATCTCTGCGAGCCGAACACTTCCCTCCAGCCGGACTGGTTCGTTCTGTTACCATGCATTAGAAAGGTGCTTTCCTGGAATGTTTTTTATCAGCGTTAACTGCGGTTTGGGTATATTTTTCCAGATAGCATCTCTGTGAAATTGCATTGTTCAATACGAGATAATGAGCTCTATTCGGCATCATACAAGAGTATTATCTGAAGCATGACGGGTAGGATTTAGGACCTTTGTCTCAGGGTTAGAGTGGGTTTGGTGAATAAAGGTTTATTGAAAATCTAAGGGCCAATCAAATAGAGCCCTCAAGATAAAGAAACGAGAAATAAATATTAAACCACATAATACACGGCGTGCTGCTATAGCATCTATGACATTGATGAAATTCCCTGGTTTCTATGAGGTTAATGACACTCGGTGTATTAAATAACTTTGATGACCTCAAGTTTTTCAATAAAGTTACTGCCTCCCGGTATTTTGCAATCCCGATTGTCGACACCAGTGTTATTTTAACATTAAACGCGCCGGGTTTTAACAATAACTATAAGTGGTGAAAGTGTTCGCTAGTCAGAGCTCAATTCCGGGTTCGATTCCTAACATATGTACATAGAGTTGCCGACGTGTATGCGTTTCTCTACTTGAACGACTTATCCATTCAGCCACTAGTTACTCACACTATCAATCTCTGAACCACTTATCTACTTATCCACTTCTATCATTCTTCACCATCTCTGTCACCAATCCCCTTATGCAGTATCTGACCAACACCCGATCACCCAGTCAGCTTTTCAGCTCATCCCCCAGTAAACCGCGCACCCAGCTATTAACTCCACAGTTTATTCATTTACCTTCCACCCAGTTAACAACCACTCACTCACGACCCACGCACAAAGCAAGTCTCTCAACCTCTCACGACACAATCAGCCACTCGCCCACTCGCCCACCACCCACCATCCAGTCACCCAGTCCATTCATCCCCTTACCACCATCCAGTCACCCAGTCCATTCATCCCCTTGCCAACCATCCAGTCACCCAGTCCATTCATCCCCTTGCCAACCATCCAGTCACCCAGTCCATTCATCCCCTTGCCAACCGTCCAGTCACCCAGTCCATTCATCCCCTTGCCAACCATCCAGTCACCCAGTCCATTCATCCCCTTGCCAACCACCCAGTCATCAAGTCATCCAGTCATCCAGTCCAGCCATCCCCTTGCCAACCATCCAGTCATCCAGTCTATTCATACCCTTACCCACCATCCAGTCACCAAGTCCATTCACCCCCTTGCCCACCACCCAGTCATCCAGTCCATTCATCCCCTTGCCAACCATCCAGTCACCCAGTCCATTCACCCCCTTGCCCACCACCCAGTCATCCAATCAATCCATCCCCTTGCCAACAACCCAGTCATCAAGTCATCCAGTCCAGCCAATCCCTTGCCAACCATTCAGTCATCAAGTCATCCATCCCCTTGCCCACCATCCAGTCACCCAGTCACCCAGTCATCCAGTCATCCAGTCCAGCCATCGCCTTGCCCACCATCCAGTCATCCAGTCATCCAGTCATCCAGTCCAGCCATCCCCTTTTCAAACCATCCAGTCAACTAGGTATCATGTCCATTCATACCCTTGCCCACCATCCAGTCACCCAGTCACCCAGTCACCCAGTCCATTCATCCCCTTGCCCACCCTCCACACCTCCAATCGATCCAATCACTTACCCTCCACACCCCCACTGATCTACCGCCTCTACTGTTCCAGGTCCAGGGTACTGGGGACTCCTGAACATCGACTGGACTCTGTGTAATAAAGGCAGGAATCAATCTCCTATCAACATTGACCCGAAGACCTTGCTGTTTGACCCCAGCCTCGGACCAATAGTCATAGAAGGAGACCGGGTAAGTAATAAGAACATCGGCACGATTCCCCGTGTCTTATTAAGCATGCCACCTCAAGTCACGTAGTTTCGTTCAGATTAATTTGGTTTGCAGTAGCGCAAAAATTATACACGCTGTGATATTTGCTGTAATTTTGTGCATACAAGATACGTTCCAATATAGTTTTGTTCCAGCCACCGCATCAGACGCCGAGTCTGCATGGTTTTCATCTTTATGTAATTAAGACAACTTCCCCAGCAAAGTCCTTGTTTAATATAAGAAGAATAAACCCTGAAGCGTGTTTCTTGTATTTCATCATGTTTTATCGGCATTCGAATTGATTTCCTACAGACACTGAGCTGGTGTTATAAGCGCACGTGCGATTCTTGAAACCAAATCTTGATAACAGCACTGGGTGGGGATCGCTATATTTGATCAGAAGTTTGTAATACAGCCAGTGGGATATGTATGGCTGAACAGAACTCTCCAGTACAGGGTCAGAGAGACATATAATTGTACAGAACTCTCTAGTACAGGGTCAGAGAGACATATAATTGTACATAACTCTCCAGTACAGGGTCAGAGAGACATATAATTGAATAGAACTCTCCAGTACAGGGTCAGAGAGACATATAATTGTACAGAACTCTCCAGTACAGGGTCAGAGAGACATATAATTGTACAGAACTCTCCAGTACAGGGTCAGAGAAACATATAATTGTACAGAACTCTCCAGTACAGGGTCAGAGAGACATATAATTGTACAGAACTCTCCAGTACAGGGTCAGAGAGACATATAATTGAACAGAACTCTCCAGTACAGGGTCAGAGAGACATCTAATTGTACAGAACTCTCCAGTACAGGGTCAGAGAGACATCTAATTGTACAGAACCCTCCAGTACAGGGTCAGAGAAACATATAATTGTACAAAACACTCCAGTACAGGGTCAGAGAGACATCTAATTGAACAGAACTCTCCAGTACAGGGTCAGAGAGGCATTTAATTGTACAAAACACTCCAGTACAGGGTCAGAGAGACATCTAATTGTACAGAACTCTCTAGTACAGGATCAGAGAGACAAAGCTGTACAGTACTCTGAAGTACAGGGTCAGAGAGAGTTATACAGTACTCTGAAGCACTGGCAAGAGTGACAGACACCTGAAGAGAACTTGTCAGGGAGTTATCTATTGCTGAACAGAACACTGAAGTACGGTTTCACCGTGACACACATAAGATTCCACAGAAATCCCTTGTACGTGATGAGAGAAACACATACAATTTAACAGAACTGTGAACTACAGGGTCATGATCAAGGAGATATATATATAACTGAACATAACTCGGAGGCACAGGGTCAGAGTGACACTTGCATGTGTACAGATCTCTCTAGTGCAGGGTCAGAGTGACACATGCATGTGTACAGATCTCTCTAGTGCAGGGTCAGAGAGACGCATGAAGTTGTACAGACCTCTCTACTGCAGGGTCAGAGAGACGCATAAAGTTGTACAAATCTCTCTAGTGCAGGGTCAGAGAGACGCATAAAGTTGTACAGATCTCCTAAGTGCAGGGTCAGCGAGACGCATAAAGTTGTACAGATCTCCTTAGTGCAGGGTCAGAGAGACGCATAAAGTTGTACAGATCTCTCAGGTACAGGGTCAGCGAGACGCACAAAGTAAACAGATCTCTCAGGTACAGGGTCAGCGAGACGCATAAAGTTGTACAGATCTCTCAGGTACAGGGTCAGCGAGACGCACAAAGTAGACAGATCTCTCAGGTACAGGGTCATAGAGACGCATAAAGTTGTACAGATCTCTCAGGTACAGGGTCAGCGAGACGCATAAAGTTGTACAGATCTCTCAGGTACAGGGTCAGCGAGACGCATAAAGTTGTACAGATCTCTCAGGTACAGGGTCAGCGAGACGCATAAAGTTGTACAGATCTTTCAGGTACAGGGTCAGAGAGACGCATAAAGTTGTACAGATCTCTCAGGTACAGGGTCAGAGAGACGCATAAAGTTGTACAGATCTCTCAGGTACAGGGTCAGAGAGACGCATAAAGTTGTACAGATCTCTCAGGTACAGGGTCAGAGAGACGCATAAAGTTGTACAGATCTCTCAGGTACAGGGTCAGAGAGACGCATAAAGTTGTACAGATCTCTCAGGTACAGGGCCAGAGAGACGCACCACGTTGTACAGGGACCGGGAGACATATAAGTGAAGCAGTAGTCTGTACACGGTAGGCGGTTTTGTCAATGATTGATTATGATCTTCAATGCAGAGTGAGTGGAGACGTATGGGCGAACAACGTCTCAATGCAGGTTTGAGGGTGAAATGAATGGTTGACCACAACTCCCGTGTAGATTGAAAAGTGTTCGGTTTCAGTTAATGGAAACGTTATGTCACACAGAAACATTGAAAGAAAACAGCAAAGAAATCCACTTAAGAAACGTGTAACAAAAATTGGAGCCGAGATTGCCTGATTCCCAAGAGAAATGAATAACAATTACCAATGACAAAATGACAAATACCGTGACAGTATCTCTAAAAAATATTCTCCCGACATATCCAATCGTATCCCCAGGGGCGGCATTAGAAGGCTCTAAGACAATGCTTGATGCAGACGTTGTGAACAGGGATGGGAAATCAACTTCTTAAACGGTTTCTTCATCTGTGGAGGCTTTGGGTTAGAAAGTTAGAGGCATGTACATCAATTCTTTGAAACAATACAAGCAATCAAATTAATCTGCTGATTTCTCAGTAAAACATTAGAATCGTAATTCTTAATGGATACACGCTGAAGACCCGGGTTCGATTCCCGACATGGGTACAATGTGTGAAGCCCATTTCTGGTGTCCACCGCCGTGATTTTGCTGGAATATTTCTAAAAGCGGCGTAAAACCATACTCACTCACTCACTCTTAATGGATACGTGTCTTGGGGATAGTCTCATACATATTGCATCTTCCCTGGGATCCAGGGATGTGGATGGGAAGTAAGGTGGCGTGAGGAAGAGGGTAAGGTAAGCATGCGGTTCACGACTCGGCCCTCCGCTCTGGGACTGCTATCAGGGGCGTTCTGTTTGAAGGGGTGTACGAGAGACGCTTTAAAGGGCAAGAGTTCTTTTTAATGGATATTCATATATTCAGTTCCTATCGAGAAATACATGGTCCATGTCTAACTATCTTAATGTCTATCTTGTAAACACCCTAGTCCCATCATAATAGAGCTTCCTCTCTCATCAACGCCCTCCAGCTACCTTCCCCTTCTTTCAACAATCTCCCCAGTCCCCCACCCTCCAGCTACCTTCCCCTTCTTTCAACCATCCCTCCCCCCAAGTCAGCCACCCTCCAGCTACCTTAAGCTTCCCCTTCTTTCAACCATCTCCCCAGTCCCCCCTACCCCCGAGCTACCTTCCCCTTCTTTCAGTCCCCTCCCTGTCCCCCTACCCTCCAGCTACATTCCCCTTCTTTCAGTCCCCTCCCCTGTCCCCCTACCCTCCAGCTACTTTCCCCTTCTTTCAGTCCCCTCCCCAGTCCCCCTACCCTCAAGCTACCTTCCCCTTCTTTCAGTCTCCTCCCCTGTCCCCTACCCTCCAGCTACCTTCCCCTTCTTTCAGTCTCCTCCCCTGTCCCCTACCCTCCAGTTACCTTCCCCTTCTTTCAGTCCCCTCTCCTGTCCCCTACCCTCCAGCTACCTTCCCCTTCTTTCAGTCCCCTCCCCAGTCTCCCTACCCTCCAGCTACCTCCCCCTTCTTTCAATCCCCTCCCCAGCCCCCCCCCGCCCCCCCCCCCCCTTCACCTCCAGCTACCTTCACCTTCTTTCAGTCCCCTCTCCTGTCCCCTACCCTCCAGCTACCTTCCCCTTCTTTCAGTCCCCTCCCCTGTCCCCTACCCTCCAGTTACCTTCCCCTTCTTTCAGTCCCCTCCCCAGTCTCCCTACCCTCCAGTTACCTTCCCCTTCTTTCAGTCCCCTCCCCAGTCCCCCTACCCTCCAGCTGCCTTCCCATTCTTTCAGTCCCGTCCCCTCCCTTACCCTCCAGCTACCTTCCCCTTCTTTCAGTCTCCTCCCCTGTCCACTACCCTCCAGCTACCTTCCCCTTCTTTCAGTCTCCTCCCCTGTCCCCTACCCTCCAGCTACCTTCACCTTCTTTCAGTCCCCTCTCCTGTCCCCTACCCTCCAGCTACCTTCCCCTTCTTTCAGTCCCCTCCCCTGTCCCCTACCCTCCAGTTACCTTCCCCTTCTTTCAGTCCCCTCCCCAGTCTCCCTACCCTCCAGTTACCTTCCCCTTCTTTCAGTCCCCTCCCCAGTCCCCCTACCCTCCAGCTGCCTTCCCATTCTTTCAGTCCCCTCCCCTCCCTTACCCTCCAGCTACCTTCCCCTTCTTTCAGTCTCCTCCCCTGTCCACTACCCTCCAGCTACCTTCCCCTTCTTTCAGTCTCCTCCCCTGTCCCCTACCCTCCAGCTACCTCCCCCTTCTTTCAGTCTCCTCCCCTGTCCCCTACCCTCCAGCTACCTTCCCCTTCTTTCAGTCCCCTCCCCAGTCCCCCCTACCCTCCACCTACCTTCCCCTTCTTTCAGTCCCCTCCCAAGCCCCCCTACCCTCCACCTACCTTCCCCTTCTTTCAGTCCCCTCCCCTGTCCCCTACCCTCCAGTTACCTTCCCCTTCTTTCAGTCCCCTCCCCAGTCTCCCTACCCTCCAGGTACCTTCCCCTTCTTTCAGTCCCCTCCCCAGTCCCCCTACCCTCCAGCTGCCTTCCCATTCTTTCAGTCCCCTTCCCTCCCTTACCCTCCAGTTACCTCCCCCTTCTTTCAGTCTCCTCCCCTGTCCCCTACCCTCCAGCTACCTTCCCCTTCTTTCAGTCCCCTCCCCAGTCCCCCCTACCCTCCAGCTACCTTCCCCTTCTTTCAGTCCCCTCCCCAGCCCCCCTACCCTCCAGCTACCTTCCCCTTCTTTCAGTCCCCTCCCCAGTCCCCCTACCCTCCAGCTACCTTCCCCTTCTTTCAGTCCCCTCCCCAGTA